ACTTAGCCTTATCTACAACCAGGGGCAGGGGCATCTATGCCCCTTGGGGTAGTTGCAGGAATGAGAGAGAGAGAGAGTGTGTGTGTGTGTGTGTCCGTCTGTCCTAGAGTTCTATGGAGTTAGGTTCTTGGAAGGAGGTCCTTGGGGCTGGCCTTGATGTTGAGGGCCTGGGATCCACCTGCTGCCTCCTCACTCCTAAGCATTGGTCACCAGCTTATAGGAAGCAGTGAGTTTCTGTCTTTCTAATCCAACATGTTAAACTAGTATGGTGAGCAAGTGTTGTCTCCGGCCCAGGTCTTTTGTTTTGGTTTTGTTAGGTCATAGATTTAGGTTAGTAGGTATTTTTGTCTCTTTGTTGTCCTTGGGCTTCAGTGATGCTGTAGAACAGCAGGACGTGTAGGCAGCTGTCAGAGACCAGTGGTCAGCTTGGATCTCACCTAAACATGTACCATGGTGTAGCCATGTGGCCACTGGATGTGATTTTCTGGGTAGCCTTCAAGTATTGACTGTACCTCTGGGTCAAGACAGAGAAGACCTGATGACACACTGCTCAGCGAGGGCCTTTCCCACCCTTGTGTCCCTGCAGAGAAGTCTGGCTCAGCGCCCTCAGGAGGCCCATCAAGGCTCAGCAGTAGCAGCTCCTCTGAGTCTGCAAGCAGCAGCTCCAGTGGGTCAAGCTCTGACAGCAGCGACTCAGAGTGAACTCGGACTGGAACAGAGCTGGACAAATGGACGTGGCACACGCTGACTGCAGTGTTCCCTCCTATGGTTAATATACTTTCGTTCCATGGTGTGCAGGTTTTCTTTTACTTCAGTGTTATGATCTCTTCCAGCTGTGCTCCGGTAGGGCGGAGAGCCTCGCACGTGCACCGTACCCCACGAGAGGGCCGAGGTCTGCAGGAAATGCCTTTGCAGCTCGGTTTAGTTTGGAGACTGCGGCCTGGGATGCTAACCTGATGACCATAGACACAGTGGGAGGTGTGGCTGGACCTGCCCAATCCCTCCTCAGGCCCAGCCTCGCCCCTAGTAACTTGAAGGAAGCTTTTCAAGGGTATTTCTCTGGAATGGGTTCTGTGTTTGAAAGCTGTTAGAACACTAACCAGCAGGTTACTTCTCTCCGCAGGGGCTGAGGACAGATGTGTCAGCCCACGGGAACCAGGCTGGGCCCCAGCGGAGGGTCCTCGTAGCTGCAGATCAGAGCCTCGCACCTCTGGGCTGGGCATGGAGAAAGAGGGGTGCTGAGTTCTCTGGTCCCTTGACTGTGTGTGCAGCGTGCAGGTTTTGGGACACCGAAACTTTTACCTCAACTTAAGGGAATAAAAAGAAAAAAAAAACAAAAAGTTAAAAAAAAAAAACAAAAATAAACCTTTTTGTAAGTTCATCCATTTTCTACAGAAGTCCAGCCCAGCGTGCCCCACTTTGCTAGCGCTGCCCGGCTGCCACCGCCTCATGCCCTGAACCACCTCCCCAGTTTTATGTATATATAAATACTTTATTTATTATTAACATCATTGGTCATTTTTTAAAAAAAGAAAAAAGAAAAGAAAAAACCATAAATAAGTGCATTGAGAAAAAGTGGAGATGCAGGCCCCTGGCGATGAGGAGACTGGACCTGTGGTGAGAAGATTGGTCCTGTGGCAGTGTGGCTCCTGGTGCTCATCACGGCTGGGCTCTCTGGGCTCGTTGGCTTTTTTTTTTTTTAAATGAAATCTGGGGACTTTACAAGTATAGACATTCTTCGGCTGCAGCACATCTTCATTTTATGTTGTCTCTTCAGTTCTTTCTTACTAACTTCTGGTCTTTTTAAAAGACGTCAACGGAGGGAACCTCGGTTCTTCAACACAAGCTTTGTAAGCTGAGAGAAAAGCAATGTATATCAGGCCAAGGTCTTGACATTTAATTTTCTATTGTAAAAAGTAATAATATACAGAGTTTAACAGAAAGTTCTGTTCTGTTTGTTGTGTTTGAGGCTGCCGAATGGTTTTGGAATGCAGGGTCAGCCTGGATTAGCTATAGCGTTGTGGCCTCAGCCAGGAGCACACAGGCCAATCTCCCAGGCCTGGAAGCAATCTGCAGAGGCTCTGCCTTACCTGTCTACTCCTGACAGGGTCAAAGGTGAGCCTGATGATCACTGTTAGCCCAGAAAACTGATTATCCCGACCCCACCTGAGGGGGCCAAGTGCAGAGCCTGGTTGTTGTATGGTTGTACTGAGGCGGGGGTCCCTGCAGTTTCTTCCATTACTTCTAGGCAGAGCCAAGGACTCATCGTCAGCATCCCCACATGGGAGATATGTAAAATTTCTAAAGTCGATGCCGCCAGCTCTTGTGGATGTGGACAGGCAGTGAGTGTCAAGCTCGGGAAGCAGCTGGCTGGCTACCATGTCTAGACGCCTGGTGAGTGATCAGCCAGTTAAACTTGTAAGCCAGTTTGTTTATAATAAAAATATAAGTGGATTTTAAGGTTCCATTTTTTTAAGGTTACCCTTGTTTTTCAAAGGTATTTTTTAAACAGATCTTTAATAGAATATTTAAGCTGTGACTGTAAGAAATAAACACGAGGAAACTGACAGGCCTTCGCATGGGGTCTCAGTGGTGGCCTACCATGACAGCCTGGGCAGCATGTCTAGGCAGGCACAGCGCCTGGGCATGCACTGAGTGCCTCTGTGAGATGTGAGGCAAGCAGAGCCCGTTCCTGGGTGGTGTCCCTGCAGCAGGGCAGTGGTGCAGTGCTGGTTCCATGAGAGGAGGGTCTGGCATTCCCGTGGCTGTGGTCCCTACTGAGCAGCCTCGGTCATTGGTGCTTTTTTCTTTTTCTTTCTGTCCAGACTTAAACTGTTTTGTCTTTAGAGTTTTGGAGGGCCTCGGTCCCCACAATGCCAGGCTGCAGGGTAAACTGTCACTCCCTTCTAAGTTACAGAGGCTACAGGAACTTAGATTGTTGTGTGCAGAGCTGGAGAACAGCTGTCCACAGGCTTCCTTAAGGGTCACATGCAGGAGTGAGGCAGGCACTTGGCAGACAACTGGGAGCCGAGGAATGGGCTTCAGGTTCAGACCTCCTCAGCTTGCTTACAGACGGGAGACATCTTCTGTGGTTTTCTTGGTTTGTCCTTTTGCAGCTGTCACGCCTTTTACAGTCATTTGGGAAATGCAAGCCCACTGTCAAAGCTTTGTCATCCTGTTTCTCACTGTCCCTGCTACTGGCATAATACTTCCAGAAGCTTTTCTTTTTTTTATATATATATTTAAAATGTTTCTTTTCTGTATGATGTGCATGCAAGTTTACCGTAACTTTTCTTAAACTTTTTAGTGCCGTTTCTAGTATATTCTTGTAAATGTCAGTTACTGAAAATGAGTCCATTGTAAGTAGTTTAGCTTGTTTTTTGCAATGCCGGCCTCAACAGCACAGAGTAAAAAGCGGTAGGAAGTACTCTGGTGTCTTCTGGTAATCATGAACCTTTCTCCTAGGGTGTTTGTTTTGTTTTCATAATAAAAAGAAGGGGAAAAAAGGTTATGTCTGCATAGTGCTCCTTGCTGCAGTTCCTCATTCTGAAGGCACATGGTGAGTCCTCACACTTGACCTGTTACAGCTCTTGGTAGAAGAAATACACAGAACATCCAAAAAGGGCTCTAAAAACCATTTCAAGCTAAGTGTGGTGAAATCTGAAATCTGTTAGGAGGTTGAAGCAACAGAACTGTGAATTCTTTAAGGCCTGCACACTACATAGTAATGGGGGAGGCTTTCGCAGAACAGCAGCAGAGCTCTTGAGCACCTGCTGGCCTCTGTCGTGGTGCTGGGGTACAGGGAGTATGGCCCTCCTTTAGACTGACTGCCTCCCTGAGGACCAAGGCTCTCCTAAGATTGTCTCACCTAACGTCCGTTCCATCTCCTTGCTGCTGTCTACTGCCAGGTTCCTTGTATAGGCCTCCAAGTGTAGACCCAGTGGAAATGTGGGTTAGAACACATGAAGAAACCTATTCTGCTTGCCAAAAGTAGGCTGTGGAATGGTTTAGACACAGTAAAGGACTGAAAACTTGTAAGTGGCCAGGCCCGGGGAGGAGGTTCATGTTCCCATCCAGAGTGTGTCAGGCTACTTTGGCATTCTTGCTGCCACTACCCCTTCCCATCAGACTAGTCTCTTCCAGTACTGGCCTGGCCTCCTAAGCACAGATGGCATCTTGTAGTCTAAGCAGCTTAGTGGCTTTCCAGTGTCCTACATGAGGCATGATGCTTGTGTGCCAGCCATACCTCCTGGATACCCTAAGTGCCCCACAAGTGCTCACTCTCCCAGCGCAGTCTGATTTGTCTCCCAAATCAGTGTGCTGTATCTGATAGGGACAGTCTTGGGTTAGGGTGATATGTGAGCAGGTGGCAGCAATCCCAGGTAAGTGTGAAGCTTGCGTGTGGGACTTCAATTGAACTGAAAGGCTTGACAGAAACTGAGGAACTTGGAACAATTTCCAAGTGTCAGGCCTCCAGGTCAGGCCAACCAGCCCATACTGTATGATGAGGCCTCCCTCTATATTTACAGAAATACACTACAGAAGTCCAGCCCATGTCCTTGATCTCCGCAGAGAGCTGAAGGACCCTCGGCTCCTCAGGAGGCTCCAGCTGCCCAGGCTGGATGGAGTATTTGAGGAATGCACTGTGTCCTGATGGTTTTAAAACAAATTTGCATTTCTGCAAAGCGATACAGTAACATAAAGCCATGGCTGAGACATGCTCTTTGCATAAGTTTCAAGCAAAGTGCTGCCTCTGCCACTGAGTGCTGGCAGTTGGATGGTAGTTAAGTGCCTGGTGAGTGGGCAGAGCAGGGTGCATGGTGAGCGGTGATGCCACCGGAGCAGTTTGTAACTGAGCACAAAGTGCAGAGGGGACAGTGGCTGTCTTGAGGGAGGGCCTGTGCTTGCTTTCTATATTTCCATTTAAGGGCTCTTAGCAACCCAACCGTCAGTCATTACTGTTATTTTAGAAAGCCAAGTAGGGTTTTACACGAGATAAATGAGGATGGGACAGTCTTAGGTTTATTTAGAAAGCTCAGTTTTGACAAAACACATAACCACATTTGCATAGCCACACAGACCTTAACTGCACCAGAGGCAAGCACTTTTCAGCTGTCCACAATGTGTGCTGAGGTGGAGCTTGATAGACCCTAAAAAGAATGCCACTGCAGCCTGGCAGAAAAGTGGCTTTGATGCTCCACCATCAATGACCTGCTCTTTTCCACATGTGATTAAGTTTGAAATCACTTCTGGGCACATTTTGCTGACAGTGTTTAAGATACACCTATATATGAGACCACATCTGGTGGCCAGTGTGGATGCGACCATAATGCAGTATAACATTTAGACCAACTGGTCACTAAAACTCTGTGCTCAGGAATGTCACTCCCAGTGCTGGCCCCTTTTCACATGTCACTGCAGTGAGCTCATCAAAGATGATGAGGAAGAGTTCCCTCCTTACCCTGGACCCGACCCATTCTATATCAGGCAGCAGCTCATAGGAGCTGGGGGTCTCACTGGCTTCCCTTTTGTTGCCTGGGCCTGGGCAGTGAGGGGAGGGCATCTAGGCACCAGCTGTGTCACTAATAAAGGCTTGGATGTTACTCTTGGGTGTTGAGTTTTCATACCACAACTTGATCTTCATGGGCATCAAAGGTCTTCTCCGTGCAATTACATGATTGAGCAAAACTTAGACTGGCCAGTGTCCCTAGAGACCCCAAGCTGGTTTTTGTCACGGACTAAGATGGCCTCATTTCCATACTGGGAGTACCACATGCTGCGGCTCCTGTTCAGGTATGTCCTGGGTGGTACAAACTCCAACTGCTGCTGCTGCTGTTGCCAAATGAGCAAGGAAGTGTCCCTGTAGCGGAGGCGGGCGTAGCGTTCTGACAAGGCCTTCTCTGCCAGGGGGACTCGCCCACTCATCCCACAGGCCCAGGGTCCTGCACACCTGGCTTCCCTCCTAGGCCAAGAACAGCTGGCTTTGTTAACTAGTTGGCTAACAGCCTTGTTGGCTGTTGGGTTGAGGAGTCCTCGTTCAATGTAATAGTGGAAGTAGGTAACTCAGACTTCCCATAGGCAAGATCCTCAGGAGGGCAGGGGAAGCCAAGACACAAGTCTGACCGTTCGGAAGCCATGTGAGCCATTCCAGACAGAAAGGGAGTCAGCCTGGCGCGGTGGCCCAACTCTGCACAATAGAGTTGTGTCGACAGAGACTCCACACCACTCTGGGGCACCCTGCCCAGATGGCCACTGCCTCTGCAATACTGCTGAGCTCAAAGAGATGTATCCAGGGTCCCTGCAGCAGGGACCGACCTGTCCACGCCACTCAAAAGGCAATGGGAATGTGGACCAAGCGCTAGTTTTCAGGTCCTTTCTTCTAGGCAGTCTTCCATTCTTATCAAGGATGACACTGCAAAGGGAAGAATCTGTCTGGCCTAGGGTACAGGCCCAACACAGGCTTCGCCATCAGGAGCAGCCTCAGTGGGCCACAGAGTTCAGTGAGGCTACTCACGGATGCAGCCAGCTGAGCTGGGAGGAAGGGTGAGGCGTGTGGGCAGCCCACAGATGGTTTGGTGGTCCCAGGGTCTCCGCTGGTGAGAGAAGCGTTCCTCAGCTATGGAGCAGTGCTTCTGGGTGGAGGGAAGATGCGAACCCCACCTCCCGCACCCCTACGCCAGGCAAAGGCACTGCTTGCCCGGGTCCTTAAGCAGAGCAGCCATTGCCACCGGCGCTCACGGACACGCTGACGCAGAGGATCCAGGTACGCGGCGGGGCCCGGAGGCCGCGGCTACGTCTCCATGGCAGCGTCGCAGGCGTGGCGAGCCAAGTGCCGAGGGCCCGCCTGCGTTCCGACCCATCGATCACTCCGCGGGCCGACAACCCAGAGAGAGAGAGAGAGAGAGAGAGAGAGAGAGAGAGAGAGAGAGAGAGAGAGAGAGAGAGAAGAGAGGAGGAGCGTGCAGAGAAGGGCGGAGAATGACAGGGAAGGGGGAAGGGCCTGGTGGGGGCTGGTGGGGGAAGACGTTGCTGGGAGAGAAGGGGAAGGTAGAGGAGGAGAGGAAGGCAGAAGAAGGAGAAGAGGCGATCTAGAGGGTTGGAAGGGAGGAGCTGGAAGAGAGGAGGAGCCAGAGAAAGTGGCAGGAGAGGTCAGGAAGAAGATCCAGGATAATAGGAGAGGAGTGGAGAGAGAGGGTTCCCGCGAAAGTAGTGGGTGTGTAGTGGGGGAAGATCTGAAGGGAGAAGCAAGAGAGGAAAGGAAGAGCTGGGAAGGAGCCGAGGGAGAAAAGCTGAAGAGGAGAGACTGAGGATTGAGAAGAGAAGCCTGAAGAGGCAAAGGAGAAAGGAGCGTTTTGTAGGAAGAGGGGCATTGCGGGAGTAGAAGTCGGTGGGGAGGATGGTTAAGACAAAGGGAGAAGCCAGGAGAGAAAAGGAGCCTGGGAAAGACACAGAGAAGTCAGGGTTGGGTTGAGGTAGGCTTGAGAGCTGGGTAGGGGAGCGTGGGGGTGAGGTGTCAGGTGGAGCTGGAGGGGGGATGAGCGAAGGTCTGGAGCAGATGCTGAGGTAGGAGTAGGACTTAGCATTAAGGCACCTCCCTTGGATCCTGTCATGATTCCTGCGGCTTTTCTTTATGGTTGTGTTGGGGCTTTTATGGTCTGGAGATCGAATCCATGGCCCTGGGCAACAAGGGCTCTAAGGTGAAGCTTTGTCCTCAGTCTTTTTTATTTCCTTTTGTACAGTCATTTTGTCAGACCTATAGCTGTTACTATTGACATCCCGCTCAGATGATGGGTGCACTTGTTTTAAATTTATTTAATGGTGGGTGGGATGTATCGTTTCAAAAGTAGCAGTGAAACCCCATCACTCCATACACTGCCCATCTGAATTGTCCTAAAGCCTCAGGAAGATTCCCCATGCACTCTGCACACACTTTCTATTAGGCCCTTGTCCATCGTTTTTCTTTGTAAGTTTTTTGTTTGTTTTTTTGTTTGTTTGTTTGTTTTTCACGGTTTACTCCAATGCCAGTTAAGAATACTGACATCAGTGGGTGGTGGAGAAAGGGTGGTGGTCAGCACTTGGGAATTAGAGGCAGGCAGATCTCTGGGTTTGAGGCCAGCTTTGTCTAGGTAGTGAGTTTCAGGCCAACCAAGGCTACAGAGCAAGACCTTGTCTCAAAAAGAGAGAAAAGAAAAAAAGAATATGGACAACATGGACACCCAAAAAACAGGACCAACTTGCAGAACACCAGTTCTTTACATGTGGGTTCGTCTGTTTATATGTGTATGGGCATGCATAAGTAAGCCGCGGTACACATGTGGAGATCAGGGTTCAGCTTGAGGGAGTCTATTCTCCTTTCATCTTGGATCAAACTTAGATTGTCAGTCTTGGTGGCAAGTTCCCTTACCCACTGAGCCATGTCACCAGCTCTCCATCGTCTTAATTTATATACATACATACATTTATTTATTTTTTACTTAGTGTAAGGGGGTTGTATGTGTGCATAGAGAAGATGTGGAAGTCAGAAGACAACTTGCAGGGGTTGGCTCTCTCCTGCCATGTGGGCCCCAGAGATCAAACTCAGGTGGTCAGGCTTGGCAGTGTGCATCTTTACCTGCTGAACCTCTCATCTGTCCCCTTTTCAAACACCTTACTGTTTGAAAAAAAAAAAAAAAAGTCCTTCACTGAACTCAGAGTATACTAATTTGGCAAAATGAGTTATCAGGGACATTCTTGTCTCTGCCTCCTCAGTGAGGGGTGCATACCATAATGCCAGATTTTTTTTAATGGGCGCCATCTTTCCAGTGGGAAAGACATAAAAAACTCATTCTTCCATCCAGAAAGCTGGGGATTGGAGGTGACGAACAGCATGGTGATTCTCATTGTCTGTTGAGCCAGGCCATATCAAGCTCCGACAACTAGGACCAGAGGTTGGCTAGTAATCTAAATGACCTTTACAGCTATAGGCGCCTCTAAACTCCCACAACCAGAACCAGAGGTGACTAATAGCCTAAATTACCTACCTCTATGCTATCTGTATGACAGACTAGGCCAGACCTTTCCTTAGGCCTTTAAGCTAGTACAGCTGTCACTACAACCCAGCACATAGGTACTTCATGGCTCTGTTGCTGGAAAGTGGTAAAAATGGCTGCCTCCTTCCCAGACCCCCAGTACTCTACCTACCTTCTTGCCTCCAGCTAGATGAAGGTCCCTTGCCTCTAATAAAACACTTAGAGTGAAGATAGATGGCTTGCCCAAGGGCCTAGAATACCCTGCTAGGGAATCCTACTCATGGCCTGGCCCACCTATGTGTGACCCAAAGCTTAAGCTAGGGAGGGTAAACCTCAGGGGTCCTTTTAAGGCGTTCTATGTTTTAGGAGGCCACCCTTTTGGGCCTTTTCTGTTCTGACTCAGTTTCTTTCTTTCTTTCTTTCTTTCTTTCTTCCTTCCTTCCTTCCTTCCTTCCTTCCTTCCTTCCTTCCTTTCTCTCTCTTTCTCTCTCTCTCTCTCTCTCTTTCTTTCTAGACACAGTCTGTCTATGTAACTCTGGTTGCCCTGGAACTTGCTATGTGGATGCTATCTATGCTATGGCTTCGAACTTAGGTAGATCTGCCTGCCTCTGCCTCCCAAGTGTTGGGATTAAAGGCGTGTGCCACCATGCCTGGCTGCCTGCTTTTCTATATATTTCAGAACTATCTGACCCAAGCATGGCACTTTTCCCTTGTAGGCTGGCCCTGCAGACATCAATCATTAATCAAGAAAATGTGAAGCTCTGATAGCTCAGAGGTTAAGAGCACTGGCTGCTCTTTGAGAGGTCCTGCGTTAAGTTCCCAGCAACCACACGGTGGCGCACTACCATTTATAATGAGATCTGGTGCCCTCTTCTGGCGTGCATGTAGACAGACCATTGTATACATAATAAATGAAGAGAAAGAAAGAAAATGCCCTCACGGGTTTGTGCACAGGTTAATATTGTGTGGAAAATTTCTCAACTGAGGCTTCCTCTTTTCAGATGACTTTAGCTTGTGTTAATCCCAAAAAACAAAACAAACAGACAAAAACTTAATGATGACAGGTTTGTGACTGGTGGGTAGGTGGTTGAGTGAGTGGATGAATGAGCAGGCAGGTGGGTGGGTGGACAGGTGGATGGGTGGGCAGCTGGGTGGATGGATAGTGGGTGGGTAGGTGGGTGGGTAGACAAGTGGATGGGTGCACAGGTGGGTGGGTGGACAGGTGGGTGGGTAGACAAGTGGATGGGTGGACAGGTGGATGGGTGGACAGGTGGATGGGTAGACAGGTGGGTGGGTGGACAGGTGGGTGGGTGGGTAGGTGGGTGGGTGGGTAGGTGGATGGGTGGGTGGTAGATAATGGGTTGGTATGTGGATGCATAGCAGGTAGCTACGTATGTGTCTGGTTATATGGGTAGGTGAGCAGATAGACGGATGCATGTGAATGGATGAGTGAGTGGGGAGGTGGGTGAGTGGAGTCACGCACTCATGCCAGGCATGGTGCTAGGAGAACAGGGCATAGGCGGCCACAGACAGGTGGATATTACAGGGACTCCTTTTAAGGCACAAAGGAAAGGGTCCTGTCAGGCCCGATGGGTGCTTGGGCTTGTGGAGACACTTATATTTCCCAGATTCAGTCAACCCTCTGTTCAGTTTAATTAATTTAGAAATCGATACTGAATTCTATTTTTGGCAAACTTTTAAGTGTATTTGAAACAGCTTGAGCATGAAAATCTTTTTCAACTGTGAGTTTTATGAAACCTAAATATATTTAGATCAAAAGCTCTGAGGGGAATTTAGGGTTCAGATGGAAATGTGCTGTATGTGTAGGATATATCCTATATTTTAAAGACAAGGAAAGGATGTAAGATCTCTTTAGTAAGTTTGTTTGTTTGTTTGTTTGTTTTTCAAGACAGGGTTTCTCTGTGTAGCCTTGGTTGTCCTGGACTTCCTTTGTAGACCAGGCTGGTCTTGAACTCACAGAGATCTGAAACCACTGCCTGGTTCTTTAGTAAGTTTTAATGTTGATTAGATATCAGAATGACAATGTCTCAGTCATGCTGGATTACACTGTGTGTCATTAAAGCTGATTCCACTCATAATGAATCACTTAATGCTCAGCCATAGGAAGATACAAAGCACCCACTGAGTGAGGAACATGAATTACATAAACAAACCTCAGCCACATTCAGGTTGAAAAAGTCCAGGCATGAGAGACCATGAATAGTGTGATTTCAGTTATACAAAGTGTCCATGATAGGTATAACCCAAGCAGATTAACAAGTAGTTTCCAGGCCAGGAGATGGTGGGGAAAACTTTAATCCCAGCACTAGGGAGGCAGAGGCAGGTGGATCTCCAAGTTCCAGGCCAGCCTGGTCTGCAGAGTGAGTTCCAGGACAAGGCTACGCAGAGAAATCCTCTCTCAAAAGAACAAACAAAAACAACAAAAAACAAGCAAGCAAACGAAAAGTGGTTGCCAGAACAGTAGGTAGGTGGAGGTTGGGGCCTATACTTAAGGGGTACAACATCTTTCCTTGGGGTGATAAATGCTTGACTTTAGGGTTGAGAGATTTGTGTTGTGTTCTGTTAGGGAGGTGTGGAGCAGGTGGAGTTAGCACATTCCCTTGGCTGTGCTGACTTCAAGGTAGCATGGCGGAAAGAGAGGTGGAAGAACCCAGGACATGAGTACCTCCTCTGGGTCTGAATGAAGTTTTCAGGCTTTGATGAACATAGCTGGCATTTGCTATTTTGTGGGTTCTTCTTTCTTCCACCCTTTTCCACCCCTTTTCTTCTTTCTTTCCAATCCTCTAAACTAGATAAGAGAGAGAGAGAGAGAGAGAGAGAGAGAGAGAGAGAGAAAAGGATAGAGAGAAAAGGAAAGAGATTCCTGAATAAAGGCAGGGTTTGGAAAGGTGACTTTATTGCTAGACTACTTCCTGTTGATTAGGGGTGTTGAGTGCCTTGGGGCAAGTTTGATCTTCACCTTCAGGATATCTAATTTCTTCTTGTTTCTTCTTTGAGCATGACTACTTAACAAACCGAGACCAACAGCAACCAGCTGACAACCTCCCAACAACCCACCTCTCTGGGCCCTAGCACTTATACGCCCTCTGAAAAGTCCCCAGAATTCCAGACATCACACAATTGCAGAAACTATCTGCAGCTGGCAAAATCAAGTGCTACCAGAGCAGGAGGCAAATCAGTCAGCTGCTTTGAAGCAGCCCCATATTCCCACACCTGGGATTAAAACAAAAACATACTCATAATATTTCTGTTGTTAAAGAAACCAAAATTCCAAACTTCTCACCATGATGAGGGCAGGATAAAAAACAGTCAGGTTTTTCCATACTGTGTTCCTCACACTGTGGATGCCAACTTCTTTTTACTAAGAGCCAATACATCCATCAGCCAGTGTGTGGTCAGCTGAGCCTGTCTGGAACATGCTTAGTGCCTGTTATTCACATGCAGCCAAATGGAGCTTAGTTTCCTCCTGAGTCTGATTAGACCCTCTCCATCTACTGAGCATCTGGATGGCTTGTCTTTCTGTGAGGTGGGCTCCTGTGGAAAGCAGAGCCACCCTAACTCTTCCTCTCAGCCTCATATGGACAGTTGCTCTGTCCTGGAACCAGCACTCTTTTAAGGCTGTGCTCACCTGGCCTGAAACAGTCTTCTCAGAAGCTACCAAAGCCTCAAGACAGGCCTCGGGGGAAGCTGTCCTTATGTCACTGCCAGGTGCCCAAGCTGTGGCTGTGTCACAGCAAGATTTCAGAGATCTCAGTTTAGGGGTCAGTCTCTAGATTGTGGCATTTGGCTAAATTTTAAGTTGAAGCAACTAGCAGTAAAAAGTCTACATTTTGTCTTTTCAAAGGAAAGGCAGAGAGCCCACACCCATCATCCAGCAAGGCGTGCTCCATCTCCATGGCAGGCCAGATGGTCTTTTCCTACACCTATAATTTCCTGGGAAATTGTGACAGCTGAATTTGCCTGATGGAGCTCCAAATGGAATTTACAAGATGTGTGTTCATGTGAGTTGGATGTGAGGACAAATCCCTCACCCGGTCAAAACATCCACTTTCCTTTCTCTGGAAGCAAAGGCAGCACTCAGCCAGTATTGTGTAGCTGGAGGGATGTGGGTGGGATGGATGGCTAGATGCAGGTATAGGTGGATGGATAGGAGGGCACACAATGGTGGGCTGGTGGGAGGCTGGCTTGAGCTGTACAAGAGTGAGGGGCAGAGGAACGTGGTAGGGCTGAGTGGAGGGATGAAGGGCTAAATAGATTAAAGGCTGAGAGGGCAGAGGTCTGGATTGATGGACAGAGGGAGCAGTAAAGAGATGGAAAAAGAAGTTCAGGGCTGGTGGGGAAGTGCATGGAAGGTCAGGTGGTAGAGGAAAGGAAGGCCAGCGTTGGTATGCCTTTGAATGAGAAGCTTTGGTTGTCTGTGTTGGGGAGGGCACTTTGATGGTAGTCTTTTTGATAAAAAATACAGAGAACATACAGTGTGTCTGGGTGTATACTGAGGAAGTATGGATTAGTAATCAAAACGGCTGGTCTGGCTATGGAGGTCCTCAGTTCCTTGGATGTTTCAGTCTCTATAGAAGCTTCCACCAAGGCAGGTGTCTTCCAAAGCACTGTGTGCTTAGAGGCCCCTCCATTCTGCTCAGAAACCAGTCCTGGGACTGCCCAGTGAGCAGTGTCTCAAATAAGTTGCGCCCTCCTCAGGAGCCTGGAAGGGCCGAGAGACAGTTAGGGTTCCATGATTTCTCCTTGTATTGACACCTAAGGTAGAGTGAATGCAAACAGATCTGCTGGGAGCACTGGAGAAAACGGGTACCATGTTGAGATCCTGGCTCAAATTCATCCTCTGCTAGCCAGAACCTTGGTCATGTCCCTCTATGCAGGAAGAATTCTAGGCAGAGAAACTACAAGTGCAAAGAATCAGGAGGGGCACAGAAGATACAGTCAGGGAAGGAGGCTGTGCCATAGGGGGTTAGCCATAGGGAGTGGAGATTCTGTCATTCTTTCTTCTTTTTTTTTTTTCATTTCCTTTAAGACAGTGGTTCTCAATATTCCTAATGCTGCCACCGTTTACTACAGTTCTTCATGCTATGGTGACCCCCAACCATAAAATTATTTTTGTTGCTACATGGTAACTGTAATGTTGTTACTGATGTGATCATAATGTAAATATCTATTTTCTGATGGTTATAGGCAACCCCTCCCCAAGGGGTCCCAACCCACAGGGCGGGAATCACTGCTTTAAGGGCTAGAGATGGAGCCTGGGCCTTACGCTTGTCAAATGGTATTCTTCCCAGGAGATTTCACCTTCCCAAGGATTTGCCTTCAGGGATCTGAGCTACACAAAAGGCTTGCTTTGGGGTCACAGAGTGATAGGGTTGCAACTAGATTTGGCTGTGGAGAGCAGAATAAAGGGCAAGGTGGAAGCAGGTTGGCTTCCATGGTAGCACCTTGGTGGTGGCAGAGCTGGGAGTGCTCAGAAGCTGATTTAGAACTGCCTCTGGGCCAGGGCTTTGCTGCTCCAGACCTTAGCTCTCTGCACCCATGCTTTCCTGTTAGCCCCTTTCCTGTAAAAGCATGCTCTTCATAGAAGGTTGACTCCCAGAAGCCTTGCTGTTCCTTTTCAGGTAAATCCTTCTCTACATCCACTTGCATGGGCAGTCCGTGGCCCTCTTTCCACATCCTGGGTGTGTGGCTGGGGTTGACAGGCCCTACCTCAGGGTTTCATCTGCTCAGTTCACTTCAGAGCTAGTTACTGCTATTCAGCATGAGTCTTTCAACAGAGTTCATCTCCAAAGTGCAGAGGTACTCTTGTCTCCTGGACATGTCCAGAGGGTAATCCTGGCAAACAGTTGTGGGGCTGAGAGAATGGGTGGGGTGGGATATTGAGGAAAAGTATCCCTTTTATTATCACTCTGCATATTTGTTTTGGACTCATGCAATCTGGCCTACACATGCAGAACTGACATCTGAAATACTTTTCTTCAGTTTTCCTTCATTCATCCCTATTACTTCCCTACAGAGCCTCCCAAAGTCTCTACCAAATACACAGGACAAGTGACTGTCCCCATTATCCAGATAAGGGACTGGGCGCCAGAGAGTCTCACGGTTGGTGCAGAGCCACCCGTGCCAGGAGGCCTAGATCTTCTGACTTGAAAGTCTGACAGGCTAACTCCAAGGTCTGCACTAAAGCCCCTCAAAGATGGTCCCCTTTCCTGGAGCATCTGGGCTGTCAGCTGATTCTACTGCCCTCAAGACCACCAGGGGGCAGCAGATGAACGCCTGATTAGATGGTAGCTTAGTCTCTGTCCCAGACCTCGTGCTGTACTGGTGAGTTCCCTGATGAGGTGGGAAGGCGGAGGGCAGGGAGGACAGAGAGACCTCTTCTCTGTGAAGGAGCTTCCTGGGTCCAGACGCCCAGGTATGAATGCAGCAGTTTAGCGGATGCTTTGCTCTCAGCTTTGTAATGTCCTTTCTTTTCTTCTTTCTTCTTTTTCCCGCCCTGTGGAGCAGGGTATTGAAAGACTCGTAGGAAGATGCTGGAGGGCCTGCCTGTGGCCGAGCGCTTTGGAAGATTTAAGCCTTCTCTGCAGCAAGCCCGTTCCCTGAGGCTATTCAGAGGTAAGGCGGTACCTAGGCAGGAGCCGAAGGCTCACCTGTCATTTAGCCTGGCTCCATCTGGCTCCTCTCTTGATCTCTAGGATTAGGTTTCATGCTTCCTTCTTAGGTGGGGAAAGGGTGGGGGACTTCCTGCAGAGCGCCCCCCCACCCCCTTAGGGAAGGACTCCCCTGGGTACGGGGACAGGCTTTGTGTGTGCATCGTGGTGGGGCCTGTCATCCTGCCCTGGGCCCGGGTAAATTGTGAGAGAGGCAGGGGTTGACAACGCTGCCCAGCCCACAAAAAGATCGAGTCTGGAGGTTCTTGGAAACTGGTCTGCTTTCACCCAGCTCCCTTCCATGATATCAGCCTTGGCTTTGTGGGGTTTCCTTTACCAAGAATACACGGGCTCCTGATAGAGAGACTAGAGACAGTAATATCAACCGTAAAATCAGTTATTTATGCTTTTGAAGTCCCTCCCACTGTCACAATGTCCGCAGGACCCAACACTGTCGATACCTCCAGCACCTCCTGCCAGGCAATCAAGGCGGGCTGCCTGTGACGGTGACCTAAGTGAAAGATTTTTTTTCTCTCTCTCTTCGGGGAGTCGGGGTGTCCTGCGGACCCTGGAAGACCTGAGCCCATTAACCAGATTGACGGGACCATAGGGGCGTGAGTGTGTAGCCCAGCCTGGTGCACGTTCCTGGGTCTGCTTTTACGGAAGGACCATGTAGGGGCGCCAGCGTTACAGGGGTCACCTTCCAGTCTGTACTGAGGTGCAGCGGCCTCATCACTCCGCAGAAAAGATCGCCGGCCTGAGTCCACGTGCACCAAAGGGAAAGTCGCGGGCTGGAGCTCGAGCTTCAGCCCCGCCCTCCTCAACTTTCGCTGGCGGCCCCGGGGCAGGAAGTGGGAGGACGGGTTGGAGGCGGTGCTTGGGTCGCCGGGGAGGTGCCGGGCGAGAGTGCCAGCTCCGCCCCCGGCCCCGCCCGGCCGTGGCCGCGCCCCCTGCACCCCCAGCGCCTAGGAGCCGGGGAGCTTCAGAGTCCCGGCGCCTGGCGAGGAGGGTAGAGCCCACGGGCCGGGCGAACAAAGCGACAGCGGCGCGGGCAGCTCAGGCGCCGGACGCACGGAGCGAGCGACCCGCTGCGCCTTTGTCTCGGGTGGGGCAGGAGCGGCCGCCGAAGCGGGGCTCCCCGAGCGCAGAATGCGGCGCCCAGAGGGGCGGATCGAGGAGCGCTGCGGCGGCAGGAGGCGTGGAGCCCGGGCCGGAGCCCGAACGGACTTGTGTGTGTGAAGGGGGGACCCGGCACACTGCCCCGCGAGTACCCGTTGGCCGCACGTGGGCGGGAGTGGCGGCCCGCTACTAGCCTGAGGAGGAGGAGGAAGAGGAGGGCCGCGCGGCCGCGCAGCGGGGACCGGGGGCCGCCTGCGCAAAGCCCCGCCCCGGCCGCCGAGCCCCGGCGCGGGCGGGCGGGATGCCCCGCGGTCACCGCACTTTGGCTGGAGCGCTGCCCTGAGCGAGCTGGCCCAGCGGCCGCGGCGGCGAGCGCACGGGCGCCGCGGGCGCCATGGAGCAGTGGCGGCAATGCGGCCGCTGGCTCATCGACTGCAAGGTCCTGCCGCCCAACCACCGCGTCGTGTGGCCCTCGGCGGTGGTCTTCGACCTGGCGCAGGCGCTGCGCGACGGCGTCCTGCTGTGCCAGCTGCTGCACAACCTCTCCCCCGGCTCCATCGACCTTAAGGACATTAACTTCCGGCCGCAGATGTCCCAGGTGAGGGTCCAGGAGCTGCAGGAAGGGCCGGGGTGTGTGGGCTGCGGGGCGCACTGACTGGAACGCCGGCTGTGGGAGGCCCTGGCGCCCTGGCCGGAGCGGCTGCCTTAAGGGCCAGTGCAGAAGGGGGCACTTCCCTGTCTCCGCTTCCCGCTCTCTCGAGCGGCGGTCCCCAAAGGCGCGAAGTTGGCTAAAGTCTCCCAAGCCTAGGGCGCGCCACCACCGCCGCGGGGACCGTTTTGTGTACGTCGACTCTCCAGGGTGCGCTGCCTGGTGGAGGGCGACTCCAGCCTCGGCGTGGTGCCCAGCGCTGCGGTCTCGCGCCCAGGTCTGGGTTCTCGAGTGTCCCTTCCAACCCGGTGCCGGCCACGCGGGGGGCCGCGTCCTCGGGCTGCGCGCCTGGCGTCCGGATCCTGGATGACCTGGAGCCGGTGGAGAAAGAGCTGGAGCGGTGGCTGAGCTGGCCCGGAGCGCGGCGTTGGGGCTGGGCCGGGAGGGGTGCGTGGGTCGAAGGGAGCGGGAGGGCGGGGCGCCGCCCCCTCTCCGGCCCGCGCCTCTTCCCGGACCCCAGCCCGGGGCCAGCTGCCTCCGCAGCCTTCCTAGCGGGCCTCTAGGAGGGAGTCCCCTTCGCCTCTTCACCGCCCCCGCTTCGGTCGTCGCTCTAGTGTGGCCTTTGTGGAGGCGGAGGTACGCGTGTGGCCGCAGGGCAGGGCAGGGCAGGGCAGGAAAATGTCTGCTCTGCTAGCTGAAGCTGCTTTTCTTGGCCCCTTGAAGGGAACTTGGCTGAGAGTTAAGCAGATTCGAGGCATGTGGCTCGCCCTTCGGGGGTCTCGGATCCCCACGCCCGATCGCTCTTTAAAGGGACCCTGGAAGGCGGAGGGAAGAGCTTAAGCAGCCCTGGTTCAGCCGGTGCTGTCCAGGTGCGACCCGCCCACTTCGCAACTCCGAGTGGACGCCGGGAATTCTCTACTCCGGCTTTGGGAAACGTGGTGACTCTGTGAGAGTCACTAATCCTAATATTCTGGCGGATTCTACCCCTCCCCCCCAAAGCCTCTGCCCTTTGGCTGTGTCTGCCTTTCCAAAGAGATGGGGCCAGCCATTTCCCGTTTGACAAAGGAGAGCCCCTGGAGGGAAAGAGAGAGGTTGTCCTCCTCCTTGATAGTAATACCCCAGCAGCTCAGAGAGCAAGAGAGGGAGCCTGCAGGGTTTCACTTGCAGCTAGATTCCCGCAAGGTCTGAGCGACAGTGTGCCCGAGTGGCACGTTCAAATGGTTGCTGTAGGGAGGACTTTCAGATCTTGAAGTGTGATCCTCCTCCTCTACATTGGGACAGGGAGGCCGCAGTTTCTTGGCTAGAGAAAGGGAAGAGGGGGCAACTCCTGCCCATAGCCGGGTCTTGACCTTTCCCTATGGGCCTTCACTAAATTGCTAAGAGGCTTGGGCCAGCTTGCTTCCGGCAGGCTCTGTTTGTGGGTCTGGAGGTTGAGCCTGGCCTGGGATTGGGGATGGGGTTGGGTAAAGAGGGTGAGGCTGATTGGCAGGGATATTGGGAGGGGTGTGCCTGACTCCGGAGTGGCTGGTTCCCAAGGTTTGGGCTGGATGGGATGAAGGGTGCTGGCTGGGGCAGGCTTCAGGGTCATCTTGGGTAGGCTAGTCTGTTAGTAGGCTGGTCTATCCCAGGTGCTGTCTGAACCTTCATTGGTATTGGGGCAAGATTAGCCTCATATAAGGAAAGAAACAACGGTTGTTACCCGAGCTGCTGTGCAGGGTCCGGGAAGAGATTTCTTTTCTCTCTGGGTGCTTGCCCTTTGCTACAGGGAAGCTCACATGTCTGATACAGGGGGAGACAATGTCATCTTAGTTTGTGGTGGTTGGAGCACAGAGGGAATTACAACTCTCCTTTCTTTCCTGGGCTGCCTTGGCCAGGCACGATTTGTAGAGTGCTGTGCTACCTCTGATCTGTTGACAGGTAAAGCTCAGAGTTCCACAGTGGTGTCCCAGGTCAGCCAGACAGCAAGTGGCATAGCGAGGGGTGCAGGGTATTTGTGTGCACATCTTTCTAGAAATGGTGATTTCAAAAGATTTGACCTGCCTCAGCTACCCTGCAGCCTCGAGCACTTCTCTGGGCTTTCTTGGGACCTGTGGGCTTACTGGGGTAATAGTGGGAGCATGCCCGGTGTCCCTGGACATTTGGATTCTTTACTGGGGAGTCAGCAGGGCCATTTGGCAAGGAATGAGAGACCATTTCCTTTCTCCCTGCTTGTCATGTGCTAGAACATGCCCAGCCTACTGGCCTCTGATGTCCCTCATTCCTCGAAGGCCACATGGCTTCCTGGTGAATCTTCAGGATTCAGAGTTCCCCTCCCATTTTGAGTTTATCTCAGCCGGGCTTTGGATTCTAGGGGTGCATAATAGCTTTTTTTTTTTTTGAGACAGGATCTGACTATAATAACCTGACTGAATAGAGCTTGCTACATAGACCAGGCTGACCTGGATCTTCCAGAAGACCTGCCTGTCTCTACCTCCCAAGTGCTGAGCTTAAAGGACTATACCATTATGCCAACCTGGCAACAGGCATTTATTAGGCATCTCTTGGGTACTATGGTCATGGAGAAATACTGGATGCCTGCTTTGTTGTACTTTCTTGAATGGGCAGGATATACTTTGTACTCCAATGCCTGGAAGCCACTTTGAGTTTAATTAAGCTAATAGGTGTATGGTCACTAGTTATTGATCCTAAGAAGGGACCTGGTGGAGTTGAAGTGATCACAGTTGAGAGTTTACAAGGGTGCCATGTCAGCTGAAAGTCTACATGTTTGCTTTGGAGACGCCTCTTAAGGAGGGTCTCTTTGTTACCTTTGTCATGCTCATATCACTCTGGTGGCCTTCTCCCTTCAGGATCTCAGTGGTCTGTCTGCTTCGGGGACCCAGCATAAATCTTTGAATACCAGGATCACCAGGGTCTTCTTCCATGGGACATCCATGCCCTCCGTGTTTGGCCTCTCCCCTGACCTTCCCACCTGGTACTTTATGTCTTCTCTCGTAGTTTTTTCTTTAGTGCCCACCACAAGCTTACTTATTGGCCTCCTTCCAGCCTGGTTCTTTATGTCAGCAGGATCAGGCCCCTTTCTCCTGTAGGAAGCTTCCTCTGATTGCTCTTTTGTTCTGGGCCTTGCTTTGGACCAGTACTTCAGTATACATCTCTAGTGTTGTACTTTCCACACTATTTTCTCATGAACACCGTTTGCTGCCTGCTCAGCTGGACTCAGGCCCTAGGGGATCTAGACCATGAAGGATGTTGCCATCATGAGGATGTGAGCCTCTCCAGGCAGGGCTGCACCCTCTCTGGTTCCCTTCAGCCTGGCCTCCCATGCAGAGCAACCTTCTTTCCTTTCATCTTCATTCAAAGAATAATTCCTTTTCCTGGCTCCCTGTTACGGGTTGGGGAGGAAAAGGAGGGCAGCAGGCTGGCCAATCTTCTCATGAAGTCTCAGCAAGCAAGGGCAGCCAGTGGATGTGGTTGACAGGTTTTTTGATTAGGAGGCTGTTGGATGTGTACCCAGTTCCTTGAGTGTATGTGTAGGGATTCTGTTGGAGAGGCTGAGATTCAAGACACGGGATTTGCAAAGCAGAGAAAGGAAAGCTGATTCTCAAGGAAGCCAGGCAGTTTTTAAAAGATTTATTTGTGATTCTCTCTCTCTCTCTCTCTCTCTCTCTCTCTCTCTCTCTGTGTGTGTGTGTGTGTGTGTGTGTGTGTGTACAAGAGTACAGATATCCTGGAGGTCAGAACAGAGTATTCATATTCGATCCCTTAGAGCTGGAGTTACAGCCAATTGTGAGTTGCCAGAGGCAGGTGCTGGGAACCAAACTGGGATCCTCTGCTACTTGACCAGGGAGCCATCTTTCCAGCCTCAAGCCAGGCAGTTTTAACATTCTGAGAATGGCTCTGACTCATGGTCAAGGTGTACACACCTTCTTGTGGACCTCTGAGCTTTAGCAGGAACTTGCTACTCCATGCCCCTAGTGTCCAGTGCATTCCCTACAAACAAGTGTACGCTTTGTGACCACAGGGTGACTATCTGTATTAGAGGCATCGGCAAGCCACCCAGGTGTCCCAGTTAAGTGTCCTTTCTGGCAAAGGTGACCTGGGACGCTCAGCTGCCGCTCCCTGCCCCAAGCTTCTCCTAGACAGTCCTTTCTTTGCCCTTGATGGCCAAGGTCCAGGCTCCTTGGATTTGGATTCAGCTGATGCCTCAGGATTAGACTCCAGCTGTGTCCCTGCAGTGGAGTGTGGCATTCTGCCGTCCTTTCCCTTGGATCAGAGCAGGTGGCTTGAGGCTCATCCTTCCCTGTTGACTGGGGATGTTGAGTTTAACTGCTTGATTAGCGTGGAACCTAGATTTTAAGGAGGTGCTTTAAAACAAGGTAAATATTGATTTCTTCTCTCTCTCTCTCTCCCTCTCCTCTGCCCATCTCTCCTCTCCCCACTTTCTCTCTTCCCACCCAGCATGGGTTATGTTTCCTGTTTTATTCTAATCTGCTACAACCATTATTTACCTCGGTGCTCACATTGTCTCAGACGACAGTGGGAACTGGTCCAGGTTGGTGTCTGCATATCTCTGGCACATTCCCAATCGTTCTGGGAGCATCGCTGACTTGCTGGCACAAGATGTTCTAGGCTCATCTGTGTGTTCCTTTGTCCTAGCTCAGGAGCCTCTGCTTCAATGGATTCAGTTCCTTGGTAGGAGGAGGATATGTAGAGGCTAAGATAAGGAGGGACGTGCTCAGGTCTCCTGGGAGCTTCATGCATGTATGTGTCTGTACATGTCTGTGTGTACATACAGAATTATGCATATTTGTGTTCTGTGTATGTTATTGCAGTCAGAGCTGAATTACGTCTAGTTTTACACAAGACTGGAGAGAAGGTTCTGTGGTTAAGAGCTCTTGCTGCTCTTGTGGAGGACCTGAGTTTGAATTCTAGCACCCATGTTGGCTGACTCA